ATCTTCCTCTATATGCCTGCTGTTAACGTTGTCGATCTTTGATCTTTTACACGAACGATACTCGACACTCACAAAAACACGTACATTATATTCTCGACTCGAATATTTCTGTTTTCGATTTTCGTTTGTTCCAACAATTATACTGGTGGAAGGTTCTTTTTTTTTTTTTTTTCTTTTCTTTTCTTTTTCTTTTCTTTTTACACTTACACGCATGAGATGTATTATATACTTTAAAAACAGATTTTCTCATATGGTATGTAGAGAGAACTCGTTCGAGGAACCGGTTCGCACAATTAATTGCGTAACCATTTAGTTGACCCAGGATGATGTTGCTAATGTCTAGAAAACGCGGCTCTTTGTTAGAGATAGGTTTGTTCTTCGACGGGATTAAACGGAGCCCGGTGTAAACGCGCCAACCTTCTGATAATTATTCCCAGATGAAAACGAATAAATCCGATCTGATACGATTATCCAATTTTTTTTATTTTTTTTTATTTTTCTCTCCCCCCCCCCCCTTCCTCCTTTCCCTCCCTCTCCATTCTGTCGCAGTCCTGTTCGAGACGAAGGGAAGGGGAGGGGGAGGAAGAAAAAGAAGAAGAGGGGAAAAAATGGGAAAGAAAAAGAAAAATGGAATATCGCGAGAAATGTTCTGGAAATAGAGTTACGCGATGCGGAACGCGAGCGAATTCAAGCAACGGATCGTTTAAATTTTTCTCTTCGGTAGAAAATTTCGAGTCCATTGTAATACGATTAATATTCTCATTCGTCGCTTGCTTACGCGTATTCGTTAAACGAGACGTTTCTCGTCAGGAATAAATATCCATAGTAATTTATTACGATGCTCGAGCTTCCTTCGAAATTATCGTTTCGAACGTTTCCAGTCGGTTTACCTTTTATTAAAAATATCACGGGCACGCCCGACTGGCAACACTTATTATCCTCGTCGGTCTAATATTCGAAATCGTCAGAAACGCGCGGGGGCTCGAGATAAATTCAATTATAATTACATTTATTTTATCCGCTTGTGTATGTATATGGTATTTCTATTCTACACGCCCATATCTTCGGCGGGGATAACCTCGACGAATAGTAATTTTGCACAGTGTCAATCAAAGTGCGGATTAAATCTGTTAATGACCGAGGCAAAGCTTGTAAATTCGAATATTCGAAAACCGATTAAGAAGATTTTCCAATTTTCCCGCTATCTATTGATTTCGTATGGTTAACACGATTATCAGCCCGATTCGCGGAATGTATCGAAATTAATATCAGAAAGCGCGAATTACCGTTTATTGCAGTCAAATGAAACCGAATGACCCTTTTGCATTGCATGATTTTCCGTGAAATGTAATCCCTTCTCGTATAACTGAGCTCGTTTAACCAAAGAAAGGAACGAAAGAGAAGAGGACAACTTGAAAAGAAGAAAGGAAAAAAAAAAAGAAAAGAAAAGAAAAATTGCGAGATCTTCGTGTTCACGAATCGTCGTCACGAAGTAGTTACGGAATAAAACCGTATAAACGAACCTTTGGATTAAGCAGCTTCGATTTCTTTTTTCTTTTTCCTTTTTTTTTTTTCTTTAGGATTAACAAAGAGGAAACGGGTTTTGAGACTTTCTTTTTATAGCACTTCGTTCAAGGATCTATGAATTTTACATGTATTACGTGCATTACAACAATGTGACGATGTATAGTTTGTCGCGTTTCACGGAAAGCCGAACTTCCGTGTAACACTTTCGAAAGTATCACGATATATCTTTAAACGTGTTCGCAAACTGTTTTGCAAAAAGAGAAATTGTATTGATTTTTTTGTTTTTCAATCACAAGCTTCTTAAAACGAATAGAGACCATTTCGTTTAATTTGATTTGTCGTGAAAATTATTTTCACGTTTCAAGCTTTTGATTGTACTTTAATGTTAAATATATAACAATTGAAATCATTTATATTTTCGATAACAACGATAGAAATTTTGTTAGTGAGAGAAAAGAGCCCATTGAACGAAGTATAATTTCTGTTGAATTATCGTGTTACGCACAGTCAATAAGATAAATGCATTTATCTCGATATTCGTTTAAAATGTAATTGAATCAGACATTTATTTATTTTAACTTTTAATATTTATGTATATAGTTCGTGCATTTTCATAAATAATTTTATTTGGATAGGTTATGTATCGGTATATTGCTTTGAATTTAATTTTATAATTGTCTTATTATTTTGTATTGTTTCAATAATTGATTATTTTTTTTTTCTATACAAAAATTGAAAAAGAAAAAAGAAACATTAAAAAAGTAATATTCAATATAACTTATTATTTTGTACTTTTCGAAAGATAGATAAATATTTATCTATCAACAATGGTATTTTTTTCTAATTTATCGTGATATTTTATAATGAAATAGAATTTATAATAATATCAATGAAAAAATATTTAAATATAAAAAGAAAAAGTCTTTTATCTATTCGAAACTGTTGGGAGAAGTCTTATTGCGTGACTAGTAACGTTTGAATTCGAGCGCCCTTCGCGCCATTCCCCCCGGCAGATGCACGAAGGTCAAAAGTATTTTAAAAATAAGGCCGTAGGCATTGGCAGATTGGTATGGTAGTGGACGTTAAGGGTCGGGTGGCGTTGTAATGGCAAAAAGTTTGCGAAAGGTGAGTAATCATCGGGACGATAAACAAAGTTGGGTCGTTAGTGTATACGATGCGTTAGTTAGCTGGCGCTGGGTTTAGGTAAATAAAACCGCGTGTGAAGCGTGTTTGAATGGTTAGAAATCGAGCATCAACAAATCGAGTTTTCGCGAGAAGGCTCGTGGCTAGACGAGTACGGCCGACAATGGCGCCCAAGCCTCGCGAATATTGACATTGCCGAAAACATTATCTTCGAATATAGGATATTATCATATCCGTGGGTGACACATACTGCGTCGTAATTAATACTCTAACCTTCTTTTAATTCGCGTTACATTTATCGAAGTGAAATCGTGTACAGAGTTATTTGTCGTTGCCGAGGTTATGCGAAAAAATGTTTTCGGCACGTATAGTAGCGACGCGTGAACCCTGAAGGGTTTTACAGTTATACTGCAATGTGGCACATTTGCAGAAGCACGGAGGAAGTTGTGTGGGTCTAGAGTTGCGATATAATCTCTGAGGAGATATCGTCAAGCTGATATAGGAGAGTGTGCGTGAAGAAGGCGTGTGAGTTAACGTTTTAAGGGTTAGGGAGTCATTCTGTAGTCAGGGTGATCAAAGTCTTTAGTGTGGACAGTTCAGGGCAGCTAGTTTGGTTGTAGGGTCGGGATTGGAGATAGACAAGATGGACCAACAGTATTGCCTACGGTGGAACAACCATCCAGCCAACCTCACAGACGTTCTCAGCTCCTTACTTGCCAGAGAGGCACTCTGCGACGTAACCCTGGCGTGTGTTGGAGAGACTTTCAAGGCACACCAGACGATACTCTCTGCATGCAGTCCATATTTTGAGAGCATTTTCCTTCAGAATACCCATCCCCATCCAATTATATTCCTGAAGGATGTCAATGAAACGGAAATGAAGGCATTGCTGCACTTTATGTATAAGGGGGAAGTTAACGTTAGTCAGCATCTGCTACCGATGTTCCTTAAAACAGCTGAGGCATTACAGATTAGAGGCCTCACTGATAATAGTGTAAATAACAAGACAGAAGAGAAAAGTCCATCGCCAGAACCAGAAACGCAAACTGGTATTAGGCATACTGAATCGCCTAACCTTCAGCCTCCTCCTGAAAAGAGGAAACGAAAGGCTTCGGGCAGCTATGATGTTTCCCTTAGTGGTCCACCCAGTGAACGGTTCATGTCAGATTCTCAGGTATGTAATTTTAAATATTGTACATCTTTGTGCATGTAAGTATTATTAATTTCATATTTTTGTTATTAAATAATATTACATATTGTATTTTCTTTTTTTTTTATAATAATTCTTTTTACTATTATTTTAATATCTGTATACAGAAAGTAGTTATTTAATAAAAATTTAGTAAATATATAATATAGTAAATTAATAATAGTGATTTATCGCATTATAAGTGAGATTCTTATTACTCCAAAAATATTTGTATATATTTTCTGACAATACTTATTATAATTATTTTGTTAATATTTTTTTTAGAAAAAATGTAAAGCAAAATATTATAATTTATGTTTTTTCAACTTTATTACTTTTAAAATTTTCACATACTCCAATAATTGTAGACATCACTTGTTCTATTTTTAAATAATACTTACTTTCATTATAATATTTAAGAAGTAATTTATAAGCAAAGTTAACAAGAGATTATATTTCAATAATATTAAATCAGAAAAGTATTAATAATGATAAAAAAATAATGATATATATTATTTATCTTTGAATATAGAGTATGATATATTATATATGATATAATTTTTTTTATTTTATCGTGCGTTTGTTTAGTAATTTCTTTAGTATTGTGTATAAATTTTTATTGAGATATTAGATGTATGTAAATTAATCGCTTTTGAAGAAATTATTTTGAAAACATATGCTCCCGCGAAGTTATGCGCGTGCGTGTACATGCTTACGTATACATATACACGTGTAGTCACGTGTATATGCGCAAAATTTCCTTACAGATAGTGCTTAAAATTCGAAGATAATGATCGTAATTTATTATCATTAAATTATATATCTATATGATTGGACAGCTTTCCAAATATCTATATTTGTAACCTTGAGGTATATTACAAATGCTGATTTTATAATATCATTTTTGTCACAGATTAATCTCCCAGAAATAATAATATATTGAATTTTTTTTTTCTTTAAATAATTTTTCCATATTATAATTTGGATAAAAATGTTTACAAATAATATGCAGTTTACAAATAATGAAAATAATTAAAATTTTATTTAATGCAAGAAATCTTTTTTATTTTAAATATAAATAAACTCAGTTTTAATATTAATTTTATAATTTATCATTTTCCAGACATCGTCACAATGTAGTTACAAATCAAGCCCTCCTGTGATTCCAAAGTCAAATAATGCCATGGGAGCTGATTTGGAAGATGGTAGTCGACCTATGTCTCCTGCATCACAGCCACAACCTTCGATCAAGCAAGAGTTAGATCATCATTTACCAGACTTCCATGACAACATTTCCCTCCCAGTGAGTATTTTTTTTATATAGCTTTTAAATAGTTATAATAAAAATGTTGTTAATGCATGTTAATAATATAATTTGTAGCATGTAAATAGTTTGTGGTATGTGGTAATTTGTAGATATGTACTAATACGATGAATATGCTTTTTTAGTACAAAGTTCATATAGTAATTTCATATTTCATGAAATATATTTTGCTTCATAATTATCTCTAATTGTGTTAATTTATTTAATTTAAAAATAAATCTTTTCTTATTATTTATTACAATATTCAAATTTTTTTTATACAATTTTGATATGTGTTTTTTTTATATTTGTAGTTATTTAAAGTAGTTTTGGTATAGTGTAAATTTTGATATTAATATATTTTAATTTGATTAATTTTTTGTATTACCTATTATTTTTATTTCAGAATGTTATTTTATTCTTTTTTATTTCTGTATTCTATAATTAATCTATATCTTATTAAAAGATATTGTTATATCATATAATTCAATAAATATGTTGAGTAGATTATATAAAAAAAAAATATGAAGTTTCGTTACTATTCCTATAATCGTTGACTGTCTATTATTTTCCTACAACTACTCAGTCCAAACAAACATGGGAAGGAAGGGATATCATAGAGATACAAAATTGGCTTCTTATATGCTAAAAGACAAAATCAAAAAAAAATGTGTTGATTAAACACATATCCTTTCCTTCTCTGTTGACAGACTAGTGTGGAGTGGGAAGTTCAGAGAGATGGGAAGAGTGACGAAACTATGGATGTACAGAACATGACCCAAAATCAACAAGATTCTGCTGTGATACAAGTTTCTTGTGAAAGCACTATCATGGCTGGAGGTTCTATGTCTATCAATATGTCAGGGACTACATCTGAATGTTATGATAATTCTTACAAATCTTCGCAAAATCATTCTACATCTTTAAAGTGTAATTCACAGAAAAATAGTAATACAGAATTTAGTTCCATTATTGATTCATTTCCAGAAAGTAATGCAAATGCTAAAAAATTTCATGATAACAATGAGATACATAGATCAATAATTGTAAATCCACAGCCAAGCATGTCAGTAATTCAATCAACTTTATGTAATATTTCACAACGTTCTATTCCTCAAAGTAGAAAAACTGGTAAATTTAAAGTTGGATGGTTAGATATGTATTCTTGGCTTCAATATGATGAGAGATCAAATCTTATGTTTTGTAAATATTGTAGAAAATGGAGTGATTCAATGCCTGAAATACGTACTTCATTTGCTGCTGGAAATGGTAATTTTAGACTTGAAATTGTGAATCATCATGATAAGTGCAAGGCTCATAATTTGTGTGTTGCTAAAGAAAGTGAAGCAAGAGGAAATTATACTTATATCATGGAAACATATTGATTTTTTATTATGAGTGCATTTTAATAATATTGATTTGTGATTCATTTTGCTCAATTAAAATTCAGATTAATTTTTATCATAAAAAAATGACTTGTGAATGCAAGACAAAATTACTTCGTAAACATTCTTTTTTTTTTATTTTTTGTTATTAAAATGTTATTAAAATCATATCTGCATGTATATGCATAATTATTTGAGACTGTATAAATACCATCAGTCATGCCATATTATGATAAAATATGTTTGTATGATATTTGTATCATATTAAAAATATACGATGTATTTTTACATCATCATTTTGAAATTTTTGAAATTTTTCAAAAATATATATATATTTTTTTTTCTATATTTAATTTTAACAAATTATATATTAAAGTGCATTTTAAACACAATAAACCCAAATTAAAAATGTGCCTTGCATCGATTTGTTTTTATAGTCGTTATCGCAAATACCTAAAACATTTTTTTACCTTTTTTATCAAATCTTATAATTAATTTTTTTCGATAAAGCAAATGAAATTTACAAAAATGATAATATGTGTAGTATTCAATACTATACTTGTTTTATATTTTTGATTATATTAAGAATTTCAATTTTAATTATAACATCATTTTTAAATATTTTATATTAGTATTATATAAATTAGGTTTGGTATGTGTTTTGGTTAATTAACTATATATAATTAAAATTATAAATTTCATTTTTATTCCAATCATAATATACAATATATGTGTATGTATGCTAAAATTGGTTGATTCAAGGAAAACTTCTTGTTAAAAATATTAGATATTTTAACGAATATTTAATAACATGGTGTAGAAAATTTTATTAATTGTGTATATTGCTTAGATTATAGATTATTTTTAATAATGCGTTAAGAATATATTAGAGTTGTTCATGTTTATAAATTAAGTCGAAGAAAGATATAAATTTTTATGGATAAAATACATTTATATATTTAATTACTTATGACGTGACGTATACTTTTACAAAGTGATTGAATATATTAAAATTCACATTTATAGATTTTTGAATCTAACATTTTTATGTAATAACGAATTTATACAAATAATAACGTGAACTGTTGAATCGCGTTATTAACATTAAAATATTGTTATTGAAGAAACGAATTGCCAAAGCATGTGCATTTTTATAATGATGCGCTTCTGTGATGAATATTTCACGCGTGAAATATGAACGAAATTCCAATAATTATCAAATATTTTTATTATAGAGAATGCTGATTTTATCGTATCAAATATACGAATAAGCATGCATTTAGGATTTCAATGAATTGTGTTTCATAGAATGACAAATCCTTCTCTCTTGTTATTATTAATTATGTAAATAGTAAATAAAAAATTATTGTTATAAGCTTCGTTTTATTATTTGCAAATTTTGAATAATTAAAAGTATGTATTATATTTCATATTTGTGTATATTTAAACAAATTTCTTAAACAGCAAAAAGAAAAAAAATCATTTCGATTGCAATGTTTCTGCTCAACTTTTATATTTATTTATTTTATTTACTATCTTTTCAAACGAAATATTAATTTATTTAATTATTTATCCAAAGATTATTTGAAAATTAACTTTTTTCTATCGTTGCTTGTAGCATATAATAATCAGAATGTGATAATATAATGATAGATTTTTCGAGACGGAGGAATTCCGTAGATAAATGATACGAAGTGTCTTTGTTCAACAGTAGAATTTATAATATATAATCGTGACGTGTGCAGGGTCATCCAGTTGGACTGCTAGGAGAAGAAGGAGGAGCAACAACAGGCACGCTAAGCGATGGCGTGTCAGGAATTGAATCATCTGAACATCATAATCCCCCAGAAATGCTCGACGGGCTCGATGGTAAGACCTATAAATATCTATAATTACGATCAAAATTATATTTAGATTTCACGTATTTCCCTTACTTCGTTTCTACATCTACATTATCACGATTATCACGATTATCAAATTAATTTCTCATCATTTTTTAATCAATTTTTTATTCCGTACAATCCATGAATCTGACTGTGTCGTTATTGTTATATATATTTTTTAATAATAAAAATTGAAAGTAAAATTAAGTAATTAAGAAAAGAATAATGGGAACGAGAGATGGAAATACGCGAGATCTAAGAAATCGAGGGAGATGTGCATGCACGTTTGCAAGAATTTTTGCGCGTCGAATCGTACATAGGCGTACGAAGCGAGCATCCCTCTATTTCCAAGTCTGGCAAGCGTAGTGAGTGGTAACCTCTTTTTAGAAAACACGAACAACTTTCTTTGCTACGACGTATCCTGTATATGTGTATGTGTATATATATGTATACATGAACTGACGATGTGTGTGCGTGTATTATATATATATATATATATACATATATATATGTATATATATATACGGTATAGATGACACAATATTCATCCTTGGTGTTGTGGTGATGGTATCGTGCATTTGCTATGTCATTATGTGGTAGTTACAAATCCAGTAAGTGTGTTAATAATACATTAGGAATTGTAATACTATATCTAACAAAAATACAATTGGTTCTTTTTCTTTTTTTTTTATTTTTTTTTTCTTTTTTTTTTTTTTCTTTTTTTTTTTTGGTAAGTGGTATCGG